GTAAAATTTTCACTTTCTTCTTTTGTCATGTAGGACAGCCCAATTCAAGTCATTCATTCATTCACATTTATACAGCTCCTAAAATGTACCGAGCACTGTGTTAAACGCTGGGATACAACACACAATCCTTACTCACAATGATCTATCACTTTGCATAACCCCTAATCTCAACAATCTAACAGTTTTGTTGGAGAGAGAGAGAAACATCAACACAGTTACAATGTATTAAATGCAATGATGGAGATGCAAATTATAATGCTTCGAAAATAAAGTTGATCTAATTAGAAACAAAACAGAGTAACATAATCATTTAAATTCTTTTTTGATACTAATAAAAGTTACACATACCTACAGGTAATACAAACCAAGTATAAAAAGTTTGTATTAACAGCCTCCCTACCATTCATTAAGAGTCTACTCTGGATCTGACACTAGGGCAACAAAGATGTGTAATACGTGATTCTAGAATGAAGAATTTGTTATGGCTGGGGATTCAAGACATTCTTTCCTAAAATAAAACACTAATGTTAAGTCAGGACATCATAACTACCAAAGAGTCAATACTTCACATGATGTAGACATTACTAATCACAGGAGATTCGGGTATAATTCAAGGACTCTTGGAAGAAGTAAGGGCCTGGAAAATGGATAGGATTTTACAAATGGGAAGTAGGGAAAACATCTTGGAGTAGAAGGTACCTGTGTGACCCAAGTAAATTATTGGTTTTCTTTAGGACCAGCCTCTGAACTACTCAGTCAAACAAACCTCAGCTTGATAGCCATGAATATTTGAAAAGCATTCCAATACTACTTCACAGGATAGCTTACTCATGAACCAAAACTTCTCAAAACCCTCCTTCCATATGCATCATTCATTATCTCTTCCAACCCACAGCTGACATGAGAATATTTACTTCTATTTTCTAAGAAATATCTGAGTCCTTCTTTTCTCATCCAGTGTCATGGATTGAATTGTGTCCCCCCAAAATATGTGTCAACTTGGCTAGGCCATGATTTCCAGTACCGAGTGATTGTCCACTGTGTTTGTCATCTGATGTGATTTTCCTATGTGTTATAAATCCTACCTCTATGATGTTAATGAGAAAGGATTAGAAGCAGTCATGTTAATGAGGCAGGACTCAATCTACAAGATTAGGTTGTGTTTTAGGTCAATCTCTTCTGAGATATTAAACAGAGAAGCGAGCAGAGAGACAGCTGGATCTCATACTATCAAGAAATTAGAAACAGAACAGCGAGTCCTTTGGACCCAGGATCCCTGCACTGAGAAGCTCCTGGAACAGGAAAGATTGATGATAAGGACATTCCCCCAGAGCTGACAAAGAGAGAAAGCCTTCACCTGGAGCTGGCAGCCTGAATTCAGACTTCTAGCCTCCTAGACTGTGAGAGAATAAATTTTTCTTTGTTAAAGCTATCCACTTGTGGTATTTCTGTTAAAGCAGCACTAGACGTCTAAGACAGAATTTGGTATGAGAGTAGGGTGCTGCTCTGACAGATAACCTAAAATGTGGAAGCAGTTTTGAAACTGTGAATGGACAGAGGCTGGAAAAGTTTTAAAGTGCTTAATAGTGGAAGCCTAGATTGCCGTGGAGAGACTATTGGTGGAAATGTGGACATCAAAGACACCTCTGGTAAGGACTCAGAAGGAAATGAGGAGAGATGTTACACTAGAGAAGGTGCAGATGGCAAGATGCAGCAGCAGAACCAGATCAGCACAAGACAGTGCTGGAGCTGAGTGCCTTTGGCAAGAGGTTTCCTGGTGGAGTGGAGTGCCCCTGGGCACTTAGTGGTAGAGTTATGCTTGCCAACCTACTGAGCAAGAGAGGTAGGTGCTATCTGGC